AATTAATCTCCATATTTGTCCTAATTACAATTAGTAATTACACTTGATCGACGGACATTTCCTTCACTGAACTAGAACTTGCACCTAAATTGATACTAATCGACAACTAATTTGACCAAACTTTACAACAATTTGAACCTGAATTGGCACTCAACCTAATTGAAATCCAAAACATACGAGAACCTATTAACGTGACATAACTTATTACTGACCCAACTCGTGGTGACCCGTAACTCGATTAAATCCCGCAACCTGAAACCAAAACGAAACTAGACATAGTCCTGTCCTATTTTTATCCAACTCAAAACAAGTGAAATCAAAATTAATCTTGATTTTAACTTAATTACAATGGTAAATCATAAAAAAAAAAAAAAAAAAAGGATTCATATTATTAGTAGATTTGTTTTATTAATATATTGATACATTTTGTTCCAATCATATACCTCTTGTTCACAATTATTTATATAGGTTGCATAACATGTTACTCGTAATAACATTTGGTTCTAATAAAATTTAGTCCAATTATGTAAACGGTAATTATATAGTTCTGGCTTGATATATATCCAAGCCGAACCAAAAAATGATCCAACATGATAATCTATTAACAATTACTAAAACAAAACATTACTGACATCATCAACTCTCAAACTATTTTACGTGTCATTCTCACATTATAAATTTTCCCTCCAATTCTATGTGTGATGTCATCAATTATTAATGATTTTTTTATTTTTATTTTTAATCTACACTTTTGACTTCAATGCCCTAAGTGCCTATATAAAATTTAAATAGCCAAGTTTCTCTCCTAAATTATAGTTTCACATATCTAGTTTGTTTGATGTTTGATCGTGGTTTCAACTTTTTAACTTTCCTTAATTGTAAATTATTTTATATCTAATTCTAATTTTCATATACAATAATGTAATGAACAAAATATAAATTACAAGAAAGATTAATTCAAACAACCTATTTATACTACCAAAACATGTCACAAACCAAAGAAGTAACCTATTTTAAATCCACCCCATATCTGATTTTGGGAGTGTTTAAACATCGCCCACAAATTTCTAACTAAAGCCCACAAGTTTATTTAGTTTAACACTTTTGCCCCTTTTTTTAATTTTTACCGAAAACGTTATTCTCTCTCTCGAAAAATGTGGAGTCGGACTGGATCGCCGAGGGACATTGGAGAGCCGAGGGACACTGGAGAGCCGTCATCATCGCCGGAAAGCGAGGTACCTTGCATTTTGAAGTTACGAAATGCTGGCCAGCGGATGGCCTGACCGCTGCCACAACCCATTTCGAATTTTTTTTTAAAAAAAATTTATTTAAAGTTTTTTTTTTTTTGTGGTTTTTTAACTTTGATAAATTTGAAATTAAATATGTGTTAATAATTTCAAAAAAACATAAAATTATGTTTTAATTTGAAATTATGTTTTAAATATGTGTTAATAAAATTATGTTTTAATTTTGTATGTGTAAATTAAATATGTGTTAAAAATTTCAATAAAAAAATAAAATTATTTTTTAATTTTGTATTTGTATAAATACTTTTATACATAATTATGTGTTAATTTTGTATGTGTAAATTTATAAATTAAATGTATTATGCGTTAAATATAGAAATAAAATTTACAAATAAAAAATTTAGAAATTACTTATGTGTTAATTTTGTGTTAAATGTATTGATTTCATCTCTATATAATTCTATGTATTTAAAATTATTTAATTGTTGTAGGATTATGGTGGAGACGGTGTTGATAACAGTGAGATTTTTGTACATGATGGTCCCTTCGAAGATGCTCAACAAGCGATTGATTGGGCAAAACAGGTTGCAATTAGATTTGGTTTTTGTTTAGTAGTCGCATCTCATAAATCTCAGCGGGATGGTAGAATGGATTGCATTTTGAGATGCGACCGTTATTGCAAAAGGGAGGAACGAAATTTCAGTACAACAATTCGGTTTGATACAAAGCGGAAAGGTTGTGGGTGTGAGTTAAGAGTAAAGGTTCGACAACACCAAAGTCGTGACAGTTGGGAATTGAAGGGTTACTTTAAATGGGGTAATCACAACCATAAGATGATAGTGTATGAAGTGGGTCATCGACAATTAAGCGGCCTAAGTCCTGCTGCAAAACTAGTTGTCAAAGAAACGAGTGATGCTCAAGTGAAGCCTGCTAAAATATTAGCATCTGTGTTAGAGAAATTTCCCGAAGACCAGCCAACTGAAGACACATCTACAACGTCAGACAAAAACTGAGGTTTGAACGGTCAGAGGGAAGGAACCCTATTCAACAGCTTCTACACCAGGCACAAGCACGTGGTTACTTGTTCTGGTTTAATTCTGACGAAGAGACATCAGAGGTAACTCATTTATTCCTTGTGCATCCTGATTGTGCTGATATGATCAAGTCTTGGCCATCTGTGATTTTGATCGATTCAACATACAAGACAAACAAGTACAAGTTCCCACTGGTTGAGATGGTTGGGATGGCTCCAACGAACCAAAACTTTCTGAGTGGTAATGCAGTCGTCGAGGATGAGACGATTGCGAGTTATTATTGGGTGTTGGAGAAGTTGAGAAACTACATCAGCCCTAATGTTCAGCCATCAGCCATCGTTAGTGATTGTGAGGGAGGCCTCTTTGCCCCTATAGCGGAGCTGTTTCTAGAATCAAAGCATTTACTATGCACATGGCATATCAACAACTGTGTGAAAGTCAAAGCCTACAACCTTTTCAACAAGAATTTAGATTCAGCAGAGAGATTGGTAAATGGTAAGTGGCGGAAGATCCTGCAAGCTACCACAAAGGCAGAGTACGATCAAGCCTTGGATAACTTCAAGGATGCGTACCAATGGTGCCCGACAATGGTAAACTATGTGATGCAGCAGTGGATACCTCAGAGGAAAAAGTTTGTCAAATATTGGACAAACCAAGTTCTTCATTTTGGAAACAGTACAACATGTAGAGTTGAGAGCGCTCATAGAGCTTTGAAGGACTAGATTGATTCTTCCACCTCTGCTCTGGATACACTGTTCGAGAGAATAAACAAGGCTATTGATACTCAGAAGAACGGCATCAAGAACTCTCTCGAGGACTCTAGACGGAGACATGGCATGATGTATTGCCATTTCATATTTAAGATTCTCCATGGTCGTGTGTCACACTACTACTTGGGTTTGATTCTTAGCGAGCACAACAGGATGAAGGAGTTGGGAGATGAAGTGGCTATTCGGTGCGGATGTGCTATATCAGTGAATCATGGACTACCTTGTGCATGCACCATTCACCGCGTAATTACGCAAGATAAGGCGTCGTTACATGTTGATCAAGTTCATCCATTCTGGCAGACGCTCGTTATTGGAGAGCATGCTGTTCCACAGACGGTCCACCGTGAACAGGAGGAGTTGGAGCAGTTTTGTTCGATGTTTGACCGAGTGTCCTTCAGTCACCCTTCAATCATTTGTGATGCTACCCACGTGCTTCATGACATGTTCAACACGTCATGCTTGGATCACGAGGAGCCTAAAGGGGTCGAGCGACCTAGAGGTCGACAACCACGGCGGAACAGGAGTGCGTTTGAGTACATTCATGGTCGTGGTCGTGGTCGTTCATCGTCATCCAGTCGTAGCCAATCTTCTTCTTCGGTGAATATGCCCGACACCGGTACAATACTTTACTTTAATTTACTTTTTAGAATGTTTGTTTAGTTTACTGCTGACTTTTTAATTGTGTTTATTGATATGTGCAACAAGAAGAATGGATATTGATCAGTTTCCATATAAGGACAAGATCCCTAACATCATCATAGCATACTTGGACGGGTGGAATGATGTGGTTGCGGATGGTAACTGCGAATTCCGGGTCGTGGCTGATGTGTTTCAGATTGGTGAAGACAACTACGGTTTAGTGCGTCAGTTGATGTACAATGAAATCGCCTCAAACCGAGATCTTTATCGCCATGTGTACGTCCAAGACTTGGATAGTTCTCTATAGCGTAGTCGGTGGGGAGGAGGACCTTGCGGCCAAAATCATTGGTTCGACGCGCCACTTGATCTGTTTGTCGTTGCAAACATCTACAAGTGTGCAATCATGCATTTCGGGCTTGGTTTGCATAGTCGAGCTTATTATCCATGTACCACGGTTCTCCTTTGGTGTTCGCATGCGACCGTCACCGCACCGGTAAAAGAGTTAGCAATTGCATTTCTGGGGCCGTCATACAGACATTTCATCCAATTGGACCTGTCATCCGATTTTCCGGTGCCACCGATCATACCTCGGTGGTACACCATTCGCACACCAAGCGTAGAGGGTTGGGATGTGTTGTATTATGACCGCATCCACCATTGGAACAACCTAGCTGCCTTTTAGTTTTTCACACGTATACCTTTTCTATGTAACCTTGTATTTTTATTGCTATTTTTATTCCATTTATTTATTTTTTGTATTCTAATTTTGACTAAATTTGCGCGTTGCATGCACACTAATTAGTATTTGCGCTTTACAAACTAAAAAGATAATGTCAAAATTTAAAAAATTAAAATAATAATGTCAAATGTTACAAACTAAAAAGATAATGTCAAATTTTACAAACTATTATGATAATGTACAAAATGTTCTATAAATAAACTGCCCACAGATCAGTAATCCCTCTATGACGCCCACTGCCACTGCTCAAGGGCCCATTCCAGATCATCAATAACAACTCTGCCTGATGCAGTCATCGTGTTGTCCCTCTCCTGAAAGAGTCTGTGTCCCAGGTGCATCATCTTTCCCATCCACTACACACAACGCCAGACATAAAATTCAATATCGATGTATTATAAAAAAAAAAAAACCACACAACAATAAATGTTTTATGAGACATACCGCATCCACGGCAGTGGGTGGTGGCACATCATCATCATCGGCATCGTCACCATGGTGGACGTCTCTGATCAACATCGGGTGCGAATACCGGTTATACCATTTCATGTAGTGCTAGTCACACATGCTAGTCACCCCACTTGGCGGCCGCCGCAGCTCCGTAGTCCATAGGCGGGCAACCATCGGAAACTGCTCCCACGTGGAAATCATGCTTTCTGGCCATTGGACGACGTACTCCTTCGACGACGCAGATCGGACCGCCTTACTGGGCCATGCTGGTCGAGGAGGGACAACTTGGACAAATCCAAACTGGCGAAAACAACGCTAAGCATGTACGCCTCTACTATCTCACGGTACTGAATCAGTCCCGTGTAAAGGGTCCTGGGTACCCTATTACTAGGGTTCTGGCCGAAAGACATCCAGTTCACCTGCACATTTTTTCAAATTAGTAAGATTCATATAATAAATGCATCAAAATATAAATTTAGAAATAATTTATACACTTTACCTCTAAGGGGGACATCCTGTCAAGCAATAACCGTATCGATTGGAGGCGGTCAACGGACTTCTTCTCGAACCGCGGACTCCACGCAGAGGCACGTGTCATCCCATCCCCATTAGGAACCGGGTCGCGGTGTGGTCGAAACGTAGGAATATACTCGTATATCCAGGTCTGTAATAATGTTAGACATCGAGTAAAACCTGTCGCGTCAGCCCGACTCGAGAATCCTAACTGGCGATACAGATGCGCCAACGTAACCGACCCCCAAGAATATTGGCCTACTCTGTCAGGCTCACACGCGTCAACTATGTCGTGTGGCCTGAGCTTGTTTCCGCTCTTATCTGAAAACAAGGTACACCCGAGAAGAAAAAAAACATATGCAACCAGTTGTGTGTCATGCGTCCTACGTGCAGTGGGGCGCAAACATTGCTTCAAAACGGTTGCGATCTTCACACCGCCGTGATCCCAAACACCAAGCGCCGCGGTGTACAGCGCAGCCCTAACCACCGCCAACAGCTCCGCTAGTAAATCTGTCTGATCCGCATCAATCACAACAGAAAGTTGTTTTCCTCTGCGGGAATCCCAAGGATGGCCTCGACGTCATGCAACATGATCGTCATCTCACCGAACGGAAGGTGGAAAGAGTTCGTATTCGGCTGTCATCGCTCAACGAAAGCCGTGATCGACGTTGAGTTAATCCTATCGTGCATGGTGGCAGGAAGGTGACTCACTCTAGTGCCCCTCAATCGGCCGAGCATCTCGCTCTCCTCCGGCCAAGCGTCTGCTCATCTACATAAAAAGTTACAAGTCTTTTCCTGGGTTTGGCATTTCAAAATGCCCGTATCCAAACCCCTCTCCTGGTCCTCCCAAATACAGGTAGCTATGTGTCCTAGAAAGCTAGGAATCACACTCCCGTCTACAGGTCCCCCAGCCACCTCACCTCTCACCACCCAAGAATCATTAACGGCCCTCGACCGTTTTCTGCTTACCGCAGACACAGTGGACGCAGATGATGTGCCAGATCTACTAACAAATCTACCATCTCTACCCTTACGCACATCTACCCTATGCGTCTCATACATATCATCAAGCCCCTAACTAAATGGACCCTAATCATCATATGGTCCACTCTAATCGTCCACATCCTCATCTGCTTCCTGCTCCTCCTCCTCACCATCATCATCTTCATCCTCCTCAGGATGGTGAACCCGTTCTCTGCGAGTCGAGGCCGAAATACCATGGGATCTAACATGTCTGGGCCCCGAGCTCTCCATTGAATAGTTTCTACTTCTAATAAATTCCATACTCTTCTCCGCACCAGGTCGAAAATGCGATACCTAAATCCATTAAAAAAATTAAAATATATATAAACATAAAAAAAATTAAAAAAAATAACTAACCAAAAAAAAAATCAAATAAACAAAAAAATACTACCAAATTGACATAAATAAAAAAATAACAGAACACTGGAAAAAAAATATAATAAAAAAATACACAGAAGAGGAAATAAAATAAACAAAAACATACAAAATATATATAAACAAAAGAAAAATTAAAAAAAAAATAACTAACCAAAAAAAATATCAAATAAACAAAAAAAATACTAACACATTGACATAAAAAAAAATTACAGAACACTGCAAAAAAAATAAAAACAAAACAAAAATAAAAAAAAATTACCAAAACATACAAAATAAATATAAACAGAAAAAAAGTTATAAAAAAACAAATAAAATACAACAGAATTGGAAAAAAATAATAAAAAAAAAAACAAAAAAAAAACATACAAATAATTGAAAAGGAAATATAAAAAAAACCAACAAATTTGAAAAAAAAATAAAAATAAACAAAAAAATATACAAAAAATTGAAAAACAAAAACAAAACATAAACAAAAAAAATCTGAAAAAAAATACTGTAAACTGAACAAAAAAAACAAAAAAATCTAAAAAAAAATGGAGGGGCGTCCCAGCCAGATGCCTGCCCCACGGCGGCGGCGTCCTCGGAAGACGCCACCACCGTGGCTTTGGCGTCCCGACCAAACGTCGCTACCGTGGGACTGGCGTCTGGCTTGGGCGCCGCCACCGTGGCCATGGCGTCCTGGCTAGGCGCCCCGCCCTATTCGCGGTTTTTTTTTTTTTTTTGAATTTTGAAAAGAAAAAAAATTACCTTGCCACCGTGTGGCCGCCTTCCCTCCGCCTCTTCTGCCGCCGCCTATTCCTTGCCTTGCCACCTCGACATTGTTGTAGTTTGAATTTTTTTTTTAGAGAGAAGTGAGAGTAGAGAGGAGAGAGAAGATGAGTTTTTTTTTTTAACAAAAAAGGGCAAAAGTGTCAATCCACCTACTTTTTGTGGGCTTTATGTAGAGATTTGCGGGCGATATTTAGCAGTTCACCTGAGTTAACACAACCTATTTGTACACGAAAGGGTAAATGACCCAACGTAACATGAACAAAACTTGATAAAAACTAAAATCAAACATGGCCATGAGGCTAGATTGACTCAGCATAACCCAACCTGAACATATACCAAGATATCACATGACCCGAACCAAACCCAACCCTAATGCGTGAATTGACAACACTAAAAACAAGGATCATTATAGGGCACGAATGTCAACAAGCTTAGTTAATACTCGTAAAATTTTAAGAGAACAATAGAACTTGTGATTATATTATACATATATCATTGTCCTTTATAAACTCTTCATAAAGAAAATATAAAGTAATTACCTTTTCCTTCCAATAATATTGCAATAATGAGACTTTTGCACTATTCATCACTCTTGTTTGACCATATATATGATTTATACGTTAAGCAAAATATAGGGAGTGTTTGACAATTGGCTTTTTGCCTAGTTTTTGGCTTTTTAATTTGGTCAAACAACCAAAAAAATATATTTGGTAGTTGGCTTTTGTTGACTTTTAAGCTGGCTTTTCTGCCAAAAGCCAAAAGATACAGCTAATAGGAGTAGCTTTTTTTATTGGCATTTGGTTTGTTGGCCCACTTTATCACTAATAAACAGTTAATAACCATAAATAATTTTACCAAACACTTTTGTAAATAGCTGGCTTAAACAACTAACTTAAAAAGTCAATACATAAAGCTAATACTTCCAACTAGTCAAACAAGCCAAGTAAATAAGTCAACAGCCAACCGCCGATTGCCAAACAACCCCATAGTCATGTGAAATTTTGTTAGATTCGTCTCATAAAATACTTTCACAATATCAACTTTTTATAATTTATAGTCTTTACAATTATAGATATTTAACATATAAAATGTGTTTTAAAATGCGTAATTTCATCCTTGATGCAATATTATTGGAACGGAGGAAGTAAAAAGTGTCGTAAATTTGTAGTGAAATGATAAGAAATTAAGAATAGTTAACATTTCTTGAAATAGAAAAAATAGGAAAAATGAAATTCAACAAAACTTTAATAATTTATAGAATAGCACGCTTGGTACCAAATGAAAATTTAACATTATAACCAGCAGGCAAGACTGCAAGAGACAGTGAAGTCACATTCTGAACTCGGAACAATCTCCTATTCCCATTAATAAGATTGAACCAACTACTTGAAGTATACATAGATATTCCAAGATGTACAATACCATTAAGACAATCTTGGTTCTTTGCATCATGCAGTACTTTGCTGCATATCAAATACCTAGTTCAGTTGAGGCCATATCATCTGCAGTCGCGCGCTAAACTTATAAGATTGCTATCCTACGAAGGTCGAACAGCTTGTACTGATACATGAAATCTTAAGGGTGCAGTCGCACAGAAGACTTGATTCAGAAGATCTCTTGGATTTTCACATGCACTAACAGCTTACACAGTGATATTCATTACATGAAGAAAAACTATCTCCAACAAACCAGCCAAATTGGTTGCAACACAACATTATCAAAATAATGCAGCAAAAAATCATTTGTAACAGCATATTAGGATTACCAATTTTAAAATTCACATTGATCAAAGAACTTCTGAGGTGTATAAGCATCATCTTGGAATACAGAGTGCAGCAGCCAGGTAAAATATCCCTAATGTACAGAGAATGAAGATACAAAAACTGTTACACTAACCTACATTAAGACATCGTAAAAGCATACCGAAATTTCCACTGTATTTATTCTTCATATTTTCTAACAGATTAGTTTTGATCAAAGTTGATCCATAAATTCCATACTGAATAAATTATACCAATCATGTATCAACCAACAATGAGTGCTCCAATTCACCTATCATTATGTGAATTGAATATATAAGTATTTATACATCGTATATTCTAACAGATAGTTTTGATCAAAGTTGATCCCTAAATCCCTTACACGAAGAATGAATTATACCAATCATATATCAATCAACAATGAGTGTTTCAATTCACCTATCATTAAGATATGCTCTCCTAGAGGCAAGATTCTCTGTCCATGCTCATTTGCAAAGCTAAGATGCTCACAAGGATCAACACTGAAGCTCATATCTGTCGACCTATGTGCAGTAGTATGGATACGGCTAAATCCAATAAGCTGTTTTCTAGGAGCACCTTCTATATTACTAGCTGCATTTGAGTAAAGCAATACAACATGGCTCCCATCCATATGCCCGACATTCATTACAGATAACTGCACATTAAACCTTACAATATCGCAAGATAAAAGCTCATCTGTAGGAACATAACCAATCCCAACTTCTGTTACGTACAATTTTCTCAAACTAGCGCTAGTCTTAAATATTAACTTCAATTTATTTGGAGCTGATAAAAGCTTGTATGTGTAATTTGTATAGCTTAACCCATAACCAAATTCATAGACAACCTCTCCTGTATAAAACCGATGGGTCCTCCCAGGATATAGGCGAGAGGGATCAGCCCGCATGTTCATGTTATTCATAGGTATCTGGGTGAATGATTCTAGATACCAAGTCATTGGCAATCTTCCGCCTGTTGGCAGTCCATATCGACACATAAATTAGAATCAATATGGGTAATTGATTAAGGAAGAAATAATGGTCCCAAGAGGCAACACTAGGTAAAATAATCATCTATACATTTCATTAAGGAAAAATACACTTTAATAATCTCAACTATGTACGATTTACTTTTAATAATCCCAACTAAGGTTTATTATCTAATAATCCCGACTATGAGGGTCAGTTTGCCTCCAATGACTTGCTGAAAGAGGGTGTTTTTTTTTTAATCGCCACGTGTTAACGCGTGAATGGTCCAAAATTAAGAATTAAAAAAAAAACATATAAGAAATACCGAAATTCCAGCCATCCTTTCTGCACTCCCTAACCTCGCCGGAACCCTAACCCCACCCCCTAACTTCTCCGGAAACCGGCCGGCCAACCCCCCTTAACCACCAAAAACGGCCGGCCTCTACTACCTATCCCCGACCCTCGAAACCACCCACCCAGTCCACCCCGACCCCCAAAACCACCTTGAAAACCCCCTTAACCACTCGAAATAGGCCCTCTCCCATCCGCCGCCAAAACCGCCCCTCCTCCCTTCCCCCACCGCCGAAACGGCCAATTTCGTGGGTGGAGAAAGCGAGGAGGGGCGGTTTTGGCGGCAGAGGATGGGAGAGGGCCTGTTTCGAGTGGTTAAGGGGGTTTTCAAGGTGTTTTTGGAGGTCGAGGTAGGCTGGGATGGGTGGTAGAGGTCGGCCGTCCGTTTTCGGTGGTTAAGACTTAAGAGCGGTTTGCCGACAGGTTTTCAGCAAGGTTAGGGGATGGGGTTAGGGTTCCGGCGAGGTTAGGGGGTGGGGAGAGGGTAACTGGAATTTAAGGGTTGTTTATTTTTATTTTATTTTTAATTTTGTAAAATTTTAGACCAATCACGTGTTGACAAGTGTCATGGTCACTTGTTATAACGGGTCATTGACCATCGTTGACCAATTGGAACCATTGGAGGCAAGCTGACCCCATAGTTGGGATTATTAAATAATAAACCTTAGTTAGGATTATTAGAAGTAAATCGCCTAAAGTTGGGATTATTAAAGTGTATTTTTCCTTTCATAAATTCAAAAATACAGGTTGATAAAAATATGGAAACTGGGACACCCTTCCCCAACCCTTGAATCCTTGATAGTTTATAGTGAGGGCAGTCCCATCAGCTTAGCTTCCGAAAGCCTTTGCCCAGTTTAGGTTGACCATTACTACCATGGATCATTCATAGCATAGCAAGAAGGAAGGACATGCATAATACAAAAGGAGTAGTAGGGGGCAGTAGAGAGCAGTACATCACAAAATGGCAACAGGGATGCCCTTCCCTTACCCTTGATACACCCTAACAAGAAACCCCAATGAATGCATAAAGAGAGTAGACTGGTGAATTGCTTGGCTAACACTACTCAGTTTTCATCCCATCACAACTTCTAGCGTTCTTAAGCAAAGGCCAAAAGAAAAATGGGAAGGCAGAAAAAAGGAAACTTCAAGGAAAATGGAAAAACCACCCACTGTACATGAAAATTAAAGACGAAAGGTGATATTTCTCATTTCTAACCTGGATTATAATCACCAAAGATTACTTCAGCGAGAGCTTTGCCACCGGCTTCACCAGGATACCCAGTCCAAAGAATGCTAGCAACTCGTGAATCTCCTTCAGCAAAAGAGACATCAAGTGGTCCACCACCAGTGAGGACTAATATTATACGTTTGTTGCTAACAGAAGCGACCAAAGATACAAGGTCCATCTGTTTTCCAGGAAGTAATAGGGTAACTCGATCTTTATCCTCAGTTTCTTGGGTCAAATCCAGGCCAACAACTAAGATAACATAATCAGATACTTTGGCCACGTGGACAGCTTCATCAAACATTGAATTGGATTCACAATCAACATCCAAGCATCCTTTAACATAATTTGTCTTCTTGATGTATGGTTGAAAAGCCTCAACATAAGATTTTGCATTGCACGGAAATCCTGTATCAAGTAAAAGTATCATGTTGGAATATAAATGAGGCAATGGACAATACAGAGAGTACAAAGAATTAATGGTAAATCATTTTAAGTTAATTAATGGTGACCAGTTTCTGAAACACAAAATGAAATTAAGCAATATCATAATTTTTTTATTTGCCAGGTTGAATAAATCATCGATTAAAAGATGCTGTTCAGTGTTCCAAAACATTGAAAAGTCAATGTACTCTATGATGAGAAGGATTAGACCTGAATATCCACCCCCTAGATCAAGATAGCTTGTAGAATTTGCACCAGGACCAATGATGGCTAATGAAGATACATGATCCTTGTTTATAGGTAAGAAATTATCATTTTTGAGAAGCACTATGCCCTGCCTTGCTGCTTCAAGAGCCAGTCTCTGGTGCTCTTTAGTACAGACGTCTTTGCCTCCCAATCTTCCAAACATTCCATTTAAAGGATCCCCGTTAAAAAGGCCCAAGCGGAGCAGAACAGGGAACAGGTTATTAAGAGCCTGGTCAATATCTCCCTCCTTAAGCTTTCCTTGTCCAATTGCAGATTGAGTATTATAAAGCATGTATGTTCCACAGTTTATATCAACTCCTACAGATGATTATCCAACATATTATCAAAGAATTTGCAACAAACAAGATGTATATTCATTCTAGAAAAAAGTAGGCAAAACTTGAAACCTGCTTTAAGAGCTTCAGCAACTGCATCCTCAGGAGTTTTAACATAATACTGATATTCATAAATTGTTGCCACTGCATCACAATCTGAGGCGATATACCTACAATCAGGCAAATCAAAAAGCAAAATAAGAACAGAATTTAGCATTCAGCAATGGACAACTGACTATACTCAATAGTGATTACAGCTTACTCGAAGTTCTTACCCCTTAAATCCCCAGTCTTTACGCACTTTCTGCAAAAGATCTCCTTTTGCACATCCAGGCACCCCATTGATACTATTGTAAGGGCACATCAAGCAGCTTGCTTTACCTTGTTGAACACAACTCTTGAAGGGGGGTTCATAGGTGTCTTCCATATCTTGTTCAGTTACCTGTCATATCATAAAAATTAAATTATAGGGATGCAAGATTAGAAAGAATATTTCACAAGGATGACACTAAAGAGAGAGAATCACTAACTTGTAAGAGAGAAAAAAAAAAAAAAAAAAAAAAAAAAAAAAAAAAAAAAAAAACATGATTATATTTTAAACATCAAATAGTAAAAACGCCTAGGAGCATTCCCCACTAAAACCAACTGAAACTATCAAGGTGAAACATAATTAAGACAACCAAAGGAGCCTACAGTGAGCAAATAAACAAATAATTCACAAACATAGATTATTAAGCATCCCTCTTTTATGTTCAAGCTATATATAATGAGCGCTAACAACTTCAAGCTCAGTTTAATGTAATGTATTTTTACTGAGAAATAATAAACCATGGCTACAAATAAACAGGGTTATTGCCTTCTTTAAAAAGGGAAATCATAAAACCTTTTCACACCTACAATTCACTGCTCAACCTCAAAAGGTTTCTAAGCAAAACTTTCATGCTTGAGATAATCAACCTGGTTCACTTAAACCTCTACCTGACTACAAGCATTTTTTGTGCATAAAGCTCCCAAGACCTCTTTGGCTTCTAAAATTTTCAAGTGGCAAATTCCCCTAGTAATGTTTCACCCTGATAATAATCGGTAGTTCTTGTAAACAATGAGTGTATTGAATACACTTAATCAGTCGAATCACATAAAAATCAACCCATTGCATGATATATTCTGAGTGTACAAGTTTTTGACATAAACAATAAGTTAAGCTCAAGACCATAAATTCTACTACCCCCATTCCTAAGGGGCCTTGCCCGCTAACAACAGGGTGTTCTCCTTAATAAAGATGAAAGATTCCATTGAAGACATACATATACATTAATACAACAATAACAAGAGTAATAACAAAGATGAATTGAAAAAGGTAACAAAAATTACCACAGCGTTGAAAGAATATCTGGTGAAATTAGCCCACTTTTCAAGATCATAAGCAGTAAAATGCTTACAACATGCAGAAAGCATCAACAAGCCAGCATCATGATCTTGTTCCAACACTCTCTTGTTCCCAAATTCTCTCTTCTCCCCCCAATACTCCCCTTGAAAGCCCTTGACAAACTCAAGAGCATAAGAAGAAACAAGAAAAGGATCTTCCCCAGGAGTCTCCTGGCCTCTTCCCCATCTGGGGTCCCTAAAAATATTGACATTAGGTGCCCAGAAAGTCAACCCGGCTTGTCCAGAATTGTACATTGCCCTCCCTTCAACGGCAATCGCGGTGGCGGTGTCGAACCACAAGCTCCGGTTAAACGAAGCAGCGGAATTGATAACTTGTGGGAACAATGTGGCGGATTTGACGGGGCCATTGAAGCTGATTCCAGGCCCATTAGTGGCGATTCCATGGAGGGATTCAGACCACCATTGATAAGGTGGGATTCCTAATCTGGGTATTCCTGTGAAATTGTTGCAGAGGAAGCTGATTTTCTCTTCAAGTGTGAGAAGAGAGACTAGTTGTTGCGATCTGGTTGGGATTGAAAGAGATTTGTTGCAAAATGGGTATGAATTATGAGGTGCTTTACATGGGAATTGGGGTTTTTTATCAAGCTTTGGAATTGGGGTGTTTGGGGCTGCTTTCGCTTTGGTTTGCAGGAGAGAGGATAAGATTACGATCATCACTGTGAAAGAGAAGAGGAATTTTGCGCTGTATTTCTCCATTTTGTTTATTGGGCTTGGACACCATTTTCAGTGTGGTTTTATCAACGAGGATCATCGTAACTGACTTATTTTTTGAAACTTATTTAAAGAACGATCAGATTAGACGAACTATAAACATGCCTAAGTAAAGTTACGGAAATATAGGGGTCTGTTTGGCTTCCTTTGCCCTTACATTGAAGGGCGGATGCTTTTATTTTACTAGTACAATCGCTCCTACATACCAAAAGCCTCTCTTATTCTAATAAACTACGGAGTTATGCTTAGCCACAACTAAGCTAAAACGCATCCCATGAAATTATACAATTATACAATATTGTCTTGTTACTTTCTCACAACTTACCTCTTTTTTTTCGAAAATGAAACTCAATGTAATACTTTTTATACGGAGTAGTATATAAAAATGGCATTCATTAGTGCTACTGGACTTGCTCCTGTTATCGACTGGCTGGACAAGTACCCAAAATGAAACTCAATGTAATAGAGTAGTATATGTTTTGTGAAAGCTTGCCTTTTACGATTATGATCATTAAATCAGATCAAATGGTCCAATAACAAGATTTAAATTACTTGAGGAAGTAATTAAGATAATCATTTTTCATGTTATAGTCTTATCAATCAAAGTACCCAACCTGAAAATGGGGCCAATCAAGCAAGTGAGGTCAGTGCAATCTCCATCAGCTCCACGACTTTCTGGTATATAACTATATATACGAATTCTTGTCAGTTGATTAACTTATCTTGTTGGCTTTATTAGTGACCCAAACTACTAATTTAATGCTATACTCCATCACCCCATTAAAAGGTCCCATGTTTTCCTACTTGCTAATTTTCCATTTACTTGTATATTCCTTATTTTTACTCTAATAAAATGATGAAATTTTTGAATAAGACAAACCCAAAGTTCGTTCATTGTTCCCTTACTTTCTATTTTCATCTTATGGGTGAAAACTCATTTGGGTTATAATACCCAATACCTAACTAATCACTCGGAATTCCACTAATCCAATAAAATTGTTATTATACAAGTATACTTTTGTATGACATAATAGATTCGGATTAGCCAATATAGATAAAGGTGCTACCAGTCTTGTATGATGTATGGAGGAGGGTCCTGTTGCTTATATATCTTGTACGGAATGGTGATCAAATGAGCACACAACACACTCATTTGGAGCAAAATAATTCAATTTTTAACATTATTTTTGAGAGATAATATATTATTGAATAAAATTCATATTTATGCATGTTAAGGTCCATGCATCATCAATTACAGGGATGCAAGTTTTAATTTTTTATAAGATTATATTGAATGTTATGTTAGATAATTCAATTGATATTAGGTAAATAGTAATAATAGTACTAATGCATTGTCATATACTCATATGCGCCAACTGCCAAAGTAGATTGTGTCATTAAGATTGGAATGGAATATATTAGAAGTCGGTTGGTTTATATATGATAATATTGTATATTTGTCAAATTTATCTTGTTAGCAGTTTTAGGCAAGTTAGGTCTCTTGTATTGTGTATATATATTTGTCATAATTATCAATGCAAGGCTAAGCCGTTTTCTTCAATATCTCATGATGCCATTGTTCGGTTTAAAACTTATTTGCGCAAATGCTTCTATATGAAGGATTTGGGTGTGCTTAAGTATATCTTAGACATTGAGGTTGCTCGTAACCCGGAGGTATCTTTCTTTCTCAACGGAAGTACGCTTTGGATATATTGACTGAGGCAGGTATATTGGTTTGCAAACCCATTGATACTCCAGTGGAGTAGAATCATCGTGTTGCACAAGCTTCGGGTGAGCCGTTTGCTCATCCGGATCAGTATCATCGGTTGGTTGGACGATTAGTATATTTGCCAGTCCCTCGACCAGAGTTGAGTTATTCGGTGCATGTTTTGGCTCAGTTTTTGAGTGATCCGCAAGTTTCTCATTGGGATGCGGCTATTTGTATCTTGCGCTATCTTAAGGGTAGTCCGGGACAAGGCATCTTGTTGCGATCTATAAAGGATTTACAGCTGACGGGGTTTTGTGATAGTTATTGGGCGGCGTGGCGTTCTTTGACAGGTTATCTTGTGTTTCTAGGTTGCTCGCCTGTTTCTTAGAAGACTGAGAAACAACCTACCAAACCTCGTTCTTTGGTCAAAGCCGAATACCGTTTAAAAGCAGTTGCTACTTGTGAGTTGAAATGGTTGAAGACGTTGTTATTTTCTCTTGGAGTTGGTCATTCGAAGTCTATGCAGTTGTTTTGTGATAGTCAGTCGGCCCTGCATATTGCTAAGAATCTGGTGTTTCATCATGATCGTACGAAACCTATTGAGGTAGATTATCATTTTGTTCGTATGAGTTGTTGAAGGGTAATATCTCTACCTCGTGTGTTCCGATGAATCATCAGTTGGAAGATTTTCTTACGAAGACTCTTGGACAACAATAGTTTGGGTTTTTGTTACACAAGTTGGGCATTCGTGATTTGCATGCTCCAACTTGAGGAGGAGTATTAGAAGTCGGTTAGGTTTATATATATATATATATATATATATTAATATTGTATATTTGTCAAGTTTATCTTGTTAGGAGTTTTGGGCAAGTTAGGTCTCTTGTATTGTGTATATATATCTGTTGTAATTATCAATGCAAGGCTAAGCCATTTTCTCTAATATCTCATGATGCCATTGTTCAGTTTAAAACTTATTTGTGCAAATGCCTCTATATGAAGGATTTGGGTGTGCTTAAGTATATCTTAGGCATTGAGGTTGCTCGTAGCCCGGAGGGTATCTTTCTTTCTCAACGGAAGTACGCTTTGGATATATTGACTGAGGCAGGTATGTTGGTTTGCAAACCCATTGATACTCCAATGGAGCAGAATCATCGTCTTGCACATGCTTCGGGTGAGCCGTTTGCTCATCCGGATCAGTATTGTCGGTTGGTTGGACGATTGGTATATTTGTCAGTCACTGGACCAGAGTTAAGTTATTCGGTGCATGTTCGGGCTCAATTTTTGAGTGATCCGCAGGCTTCTCATTAGGATGCGGCTATTCGTGTCTTGCGCTATCTTAAGGGTAGTTTGGGACAAGGCATCTTGTTGCTACCTATGAAGGATATGGTTGACGGCGTTTTTTGATGCTGATTGGGCGGCAAGTCCTTTTGTAATACCCCATATTTGAAACGTATTTTCTAATTAATTAATTAATTATTATATTTCTAAAAAGGGTGTTTTAGTAATTTATTTTACTATTTGAATTTTGGAGCCAAAATGATATTTCAATTTTAGCGCCAAACGTATTTTAAAAATTAATTATTATTTTTGGATTTTGAATAAGATTTATTATCTATTTACTTTATTTTAAAAACCGGATTATTTATATATTTCGGATATTTTAATTAAGCAAAAACTATATTTTATTATTTAAAATAGGAGGTCCAAAAATTCCTATTAGTTAGCTATTAATTTTGGATTTTCCTAGTGTGAAAAATCTGATTTTCTTAGTTAATTTATTTAGTGAATAATTGGTATTCTCTTAATTAATTATTTTATACCATAAATATTATTTACACAATTATTTTTAATCCTTAAATCTAGCAAATAATTTCCTAAAATACACTAAGGAGGTCCGAAAATTTGAGCTATAGAAGCCCAATATTTTCGGCCCTCTTGGTTGATTTTTGGGGGAATTATTTTGGTAATTTGTATTTTTAATTATCTTCCTCAAAAAATTATTATTTTCCTTAATTTCTATTTCCCACCTCCTAAATATTTGATCATCTTATTTCCCTACCTTATTTCATCTTGATTATTCCCCAATTAAACCTCCTTTGCCATATTATTTTTCATGACAACATACCCTTAATTTTATTATTCTTAATCACCTTAATCTCAAACTTTCCATATTTCTTTAACACTCTTCTCCAAGTAATTTGCTTAACTCTTTTTACCATGATTCTTCCTACATTTTCTTACCATAATTCATGCATGAGCTAGCCTATAAATACCCATGGATTCATGGCTAACACTCACACCAAAATTCTCTAATTCTCACTTAATCTCTCTCTTTAATTTTCTCATCTTCTCTTTTTCTTTTCTTTTCTTTTCTTCTTGCGCCACCACCACCAATCACCACGACCACCACCTCCACGCCGGCTGCCACCCTCCCTGACGCCAGCCGCCACCTCCATCCACCTGCCGGAAGGCTGCCCCACCTTGCCGCCACTTTCTTCTCTTTCTTTTTCTTGGTTTTCTACCTCTTCTTCTTCTCTTCTCTTAATTAATTAATTATTATTATGAGGGATTTATAAAAATTATTATGAGTAGTTTTAATTAAATAAAATCAGATTTTTATTCATGTTTATGAAAAATAATTTAAAAGGTTCATGTACATATAGCTGTGGGTTTTTAATTTAATTGTTGTGATTATTTGTTAACCTTATATTAATTAAAGTTATATTTATTTGTAGGGTGTGTTTGATCCAAGTGCTTGAAGTTTCTTTGTGTTTGCTAAGCAAGTATCAAAGGTACGTTTAGGTGGCTAGATACCTTTGAAATTGATTGGATTGAATAAGCATGTTTTACATGATTTTTATGATGTTTGAATTGAATTGAATTAAATTATGATTTATGAAATAAAGCATGTTTTAAAAATTGGTTTTGATAAATAAATTGAAGGATTGATTTTATATCATGTTTTGAATGGTTTGAAATTATTATGTTTAAAGGAGTTTGGTTTTTAAAAGTATGTTGGATTGTTTTAAAAGAGTTTTTGAAAAAAAAAGGGTTTGATTTTAAAAGCTTGTTGAATTAAATATAAAAAGGAGTTTTTGAAAAGTTTGATTTTATTCAAAGAGGAATTTAAAGAGGGTTTTATTAAAAAGCTTTACAAGCATTATTATTATATTAATCCCACTATGAAGATTCGTTGAAAGCTATGGACTTTGTATGACCTAGTCTTTCTCCAAGAATAGCCTTGAAATAGTAGGAGACTAGCTTGGGGGGAGTGCACACTTAGAGAGGAGATTGAGTTTTCGAAAATAATTGATTTGGCTAATCATTATTATTGAGTTATTGAGTTATTGGAATTATTTTGAGAATATTGAGGAATTGGTTTTCAAAAAAGGAATTGGTTTCAAAAGAGGAATTGGTTTTATAAATCGTTTCATCGAACTATTGAATCATTGAGAATTGGTTTAATCATGAGTTTTGGAATTCATTGGATTGATTATTGGAATTGGTTTTAAAAGCATTTTTGGAAATAAATTGAATTTACTTATCTTGCACTTATCGTACCTAGCATATTTTGCCAATCTGTATTTCTTATTTGTTTTGGTTCGCCCTGTTTACTGTAATGGTAAGCAGTGTTGACTAATTTCAGGTGGAGTCAAGAATTGAGCATATGGGAGTCCTGGGAATATTCTTGACCTAGATTAGGAATGTTGGTCTTTGTCTAATTATGAGTACTCATGACAATGGTTAGTATTTATAGTTATTATTAGTAAAGAAAGAGTTTGAGTTTCTGCTGCAAAGTATTGGTTTTGGTTAGTAAGTTTGAGTAGCCTTGCGTAATCACGCTGCGGTAATACGCCTAAGTCTATCTCTACGGTATGATTATATGTATTATACTAGTATTTTCGTAGAGGGAGATGTGGGGGTGTTACACCTTTGACTCAGCGTTCTTTGACAGGTTATCTTGTGTTTTTTTAGGTCGCTCGCCTGTTTCTTGGATGACTAAGAAACAACCTACCAAATCTCATTCTTCGGCTGAAGTCGAATACCGTTCTATGGCAGTTGCTACTTGTGAGTTGAAATGGTTGAAGGCGTTGTTATTTTCTCTTGGAGTTGGTCATTCGAAATCTATGCAGTTGTTTTGTGATAGTCAGTCGGCCTTGCATATTGCTAAGACTCCGATGTTTCATGATCGTACGAAACATATTGAGGTAGATTATCATTTTGTTCGTATGAGTTGTTGAAGGGTAATATTTCTACCTCATATGTTCCGATGAATAATCAGTTGGCAGATTTTCTTACGAAGACTCTTGGACAACAACAGTTTGGGTTTTTGTTTCGTAAGTTGGGCATTCGTGATTTGCATGCTCCAATTTGAAGGGTAGTATTAGAAGTCGGTTAGGTTTATATATGTTAATATTGTATATTTGTCAAGTTTATCTTGTTAGGAGCTTTGGCAAGTTAGGTCTCTTGTATTGTGTATATATATCTGTCGTAATTATCAATGCAAGACTAATCCGTTTTCTCCAATATCTCTCGAGTTTAACAGAATATTACTCTTTTTGAAGGGTAATATTTTGATCGTACGAAACATATTGAGGTAGATTATCATTTTGTTCGTATGAGTTGTTGAAGGGTAATATTTCTACCTCATATGTTCCGATGAATAATCAGTTGGCAGATTTTCTTACGAAGACTCTTGGACAACAACAGTTTGGGTTTTTGTTTCGCAAGTTGGGCATTCGTGATTTGCATGCTCCAATTTGAAGGGTAGTATTAGAAGTCGGTTAGGTTTATATATGTTAATATTGTATATTTGTCAAGTTTATCTTGTTAGGAGTTTTGGCAAGTTAGGTCTCTTGTATTGTGTATATATATCTATCGTAATTATCAATGCAAGACTAATCCGTTTTCTCCAATATCTCTCGAGTTTAACAGAATATTACTCTTTTTGTATTTTTTTCAAATACCACAATTTGATTGACACATTCACCAACACGAAAATTTAACCATTAATATATCTATTTTAAAATTTGCTTTGCAATGGGTATCTATTTAGCCTATTTTAAAATTTTGTTAGATTTGTTTGGCAATGGTAATTCACAGTAATGAGCATTATATCAGAGACTTTAGTCAGTGAATGATGTCAAAAAGTGAAGTAACAAGGCAAGGTCAGGCAACGGTCAAGAGTAGAGGTATATGCAATCCGATTTAGTGCGATTTGGGATATAACCCAAATCAAATAGTAAAAATACAGTTTGACATTATTTCAAACAAACCAAACCATATTACATGGCAAACTTAACCAAACCAAACCATACAAAAATGGTTTGGTGCGGTTTGATTCACGGTTTAACCATATTCAAATTTATTTTTTTGATGTGATTTTTTATTGTTAAAGTTTTTTAACATCAGTTCCGGAGCTTTCTAAAAAGATTGCTAAAATAATGTGATTTATCAGAGTTTACCCAAGAATTAACAGTTAGTTCGTGGATCAGATAATAGAAAACCATGGTGACCTAAATTTTGATTTGAGCTTGTTGGGTAAGAGGTCAAAAAGTTTCCACCTAAGTGCTGGCTGCTAATAATGAAAATCGGTCCAGTAAAGACAAGTGTTTCACCAGGAAAAAGATAATTAAACGTTGCAAAACACAAGATTTACTTTGATTTTATTGGATAAAAAGTGACTAATTGGTTGTCTGCCATTGTGCTATCAGTGAAGTAAATCAATTTTGTTTTTACATTCAATTATTCAATAATGTTTTCATTATTGAGTGGAAACTGGGAAATAACATATCCATATATACAAGTATACATTAGAGCTCTGTTGCTTGCGTAGAAATTCAAAGATTTATGAAATTTAATATTTGGAAAATTTGAAAATAACCACCTTCAAAAAAACCCACTATTTATAAATAACCACCATGCTTTTTTTATATTTAACCATCAAAATTATAACTTTTACCATCATTTAGTCATATTAATATTTTGTGAGATTGGTAAGGATGTTAATAAGAACTAGGTAATTTATACTTGTACAGTTGTACTACATGTCATGTATCATATTTCATTTATCTCACTGCTAGATAATAAATACTATATTACTATTATAATTTAATAGAAAAAGATATATACGGTGAAAGTTATCCCAATTATTAGTCTATTCCTCTTGTCAAGTCAATTTGCCCCCCCCCAAAGTTCTTCGTCAAGTAGAAAGATCATGTCATTTAGGGCCTATTATGTTCACCTTATTTTCACTTACTTCAAGTGTAATAAGTTTAGATAAATTTAGTTCAAGAAAAATAAGTTCTGATAATTGTTACCCAAGTACAAGTTACAACTAAAATAAGTTTTTACAAGATATCCGAGTTGAACACATACATGTGTTAGGCATGGGTTCCTAACTTCCTATATCTAAGTACAACATATATAGGAAATAATATATGTGTATATGATCAATCATATGATAAAATCTCTTTAAATAAACTTGTTCTTGTATCCAATCAATACTTTACTTAACCTTCTAAACAAAACCGGACCCAATTAATCCATCCAAAAGAAAAGGTTTCAGTGGACAAATAATGAAAGTGAAAAATATGTACTAAAAATTAAGAACAACAAACTTCACGGAGGACGGGAGGAGTACAGGCAAGGACAACTTAAAAGCAATAACCAAAAATGTTATAATTAAAGCACTTTGAAAAAAAATAAAAGAATTGAAACAGTGAAGTTAGGACATGATTTTGATTGTTGGGTGGAAACAATGGCAAAAGATGAGGATTGGTGGAAGATGACATGTACTTGGCAAATTATGTTCTTTCTTTCTCACTAAAATGCTCGACATCATTTACTATTTGGTTGCCATTTTTGAAAAAAAAAATATAACAATAAAATAATGAAATTATTAGGTATTGATAGAACATTTTTAGTTTACCATCTCTTACCTTATACCACTATATCAATCAATAAGATTTAAGAATCAATTCCTTTGCCATTAGGATTAAAGAATGGAACACCCATCTTATATCTCGAAGTTTTTGGATGACTTAGTAAGTGAATTGTTCCGCCTTTATTTAATTAAGACTTCAATAATCTAGACCAATTCCATTGACACATTAAATATCCATATATGTGTAAAAACACTCAAAATTATTAAGTAAATATTGCAAAATTTAAAGTGTTGCAATTACCATATTGTAGTATACTCATACTATTTTGTGTGCCTACCATAGGTACAAATAACTAATTAAGGCTCAACCCTGTGATAAGTGTTCAACCTCAATACTTGAAAGCCGGATAGAGAATTAAATCTAATAACTAGCTAGAAACAATTTAGGGTAAGAAATTCTCAGATCTTTTTAGTAAATTGACCTAAAGCACAAAAGATAGTAGTTTAAATAAGGTCTTCACCTTACCTTAAAAATATAAATAGAAAAAATTAATGATAGATGGCAGATATTGTCAAACAGACACCAAGATTTTGGTGCTGTTTTTTCCCTCCAAAATCACCCCCTTTTTTCTTTTCTTTCTTTCTTTTTTTTTAGTCAATGTCACTTACTATAATTTATACACAAAATATTTATCAAATCATATAATTGTGGTAATTTTGATTAACATACTTTCCCATGTCTATAATATAATATGATAGTCTTTTTTTCTAGAAAATGATTTGCTTTTTTTGTAAATAACCACCCCTCAATACACCCTATTTAGAAATAACCACCCATTATTTTCAATATTATAAAATTCCACCCTTTTTTTTCAAAAGCGTTAGCTATCACCACCTCATAACAAAATGTTCCATTTTAAAAATAAAAACGTCAACTTTTCTGCCAAAAGGTTTTGGGGGGTGATTTTGGCCTTTTGGACTCAATTTGAGATCAGAATTTAAAATAGTTTTCGCAAATGTCTCGTTTTGTGTGCTAATAATTAACTCGGTTTGCGTGGCACATACAAAATGATGCATTTTTGATAATTTTTCCAAATTTTGCTCGAACTCAAAGGATAAAAATGTCCCCTAAAACCCTAATAGAGCAAGTTTTGTCTCAAAAATTGATATTTTAATTTTTTAAAATAGAACTTTTGGTTAAGAGATGGTGAAAGTTGATGCTTTTGAAAAAAAAGGGTGGTATTTTATAATATTGAAAAAAATAAATGGTTATTTCAACATAGGGTTTATTGAGGGTGGTTAATTACAAAAAATCAAAAAAAAAAAAAATCAACTTGTTCAGGTTTATTTGTCCCCTCATTCTCACCTAAACAAATTTGAGAAAGAAAATTTGAATTTGTGCGCTGACGATTAACGTTAATGTACAATCATATAGATTTCTTATTCCCTACGCTGATTTATAATTTCTCGATTTTTGAATTGATGTTATGCTTCGGGTAGTTTTCAATGTGTAATCCGGTTATACTTTGTGTATTGTACAACCATTGTTATATTTTTCCCCAAATAAAATCGAGATTTATAAACATTGTATACAGAGTACTACCTAGGAATCTAGGATGCAAATGACCGAAATGGGTGTACAAAATTAAATGTAGTTAGATGACTCAATAGAAAGGGTGAAGACGTGAAGGCATAATATATGACATGTGGTATAAATATTTGCAACAAAATTTCGGTGACTAAAATAGTAACGACGTGAACTTCAAGTGTAAAGTGTGATTAGAAAAAATTACAATTCTTTAGCTCACATCAATATTGTCGATTCATGATAGTTAATCCGTATGTACGTTTTGCACATGCGTCAGCAATGTACTTCGTACGGTTTGATAGCAAAAAGATTTGCCAAAATTTGCAAGATCTCCATCATATGTGTGTATAATTCCGAGAAGCATATCCCATACACATTATTCTATTTGGTCACAAGTACGTACCGAAGTACCTAACAAACATATGGAATATTGAGGCATAAGAACACTAACATGGTGCAGCTTAATAAACATCAAATGCAACAGAAAGCATCAAGATTCTGATAGAATCACATAAAAATCATATAACCAGCCAACTATATTAATAAATTAACAAATTGGGGGGGAGAAAAAAGTACATCAAAAATTGGTGTAATAATATATGAGTGATGTCTAAACACTATGTACAAAGTACAAACTACTAGTACTAGAAGATTATAACATATTTTGTGACCCAATTTGTCAAATATATTTGTGTAATTAAAAAAATAAACTACTCCGTAGTAATTAATTATAAATTTAGTACAGAGGAACAGGGAAACGTGGCGGCTTAGGAGGTTTGTTAGGAGTTTGAATTGGAGCGTGCTTCTCTAGACGAGGTGGTTCACATGGGCATGGTAACGCTATGAACTTTGCTATGTTGTCACCTGGCATTATCACCGGTAAGCTTTCGTTTTGTTGTTGTTTCTGCATTTTCAACAAAATGAATTGATCAGTATACATATAAACAATGTAACTGTAGCTATCAATATAAGATGCTAAAAGTATTCGTAATTATGGACACGTTCTATTTACCAGTCAAAATAAGTGAAAATAAAATTAACATATTATTTTATTAAAGTTAATATTTAAGTAAATGTTACTATTAAAAAAAATGTATTAATTTTCAATTACATTTTAACGAGATAAATGTAGACATTAAAATTACAACTTCGTAAATAATTCAAATTACAGTACTTTATTTTAAAAAAATATCCATTAAACTTTTGAAACTACCTACGTATATGTGATAAAAGAAAAAGACCAAAAATGAAAGAAAAATTTTCCAAACCTTTTTTGGGCAATAATTTATCCAAGTCAATATTTACTGCTTCTAAGACGAGCAATAGCAGTAAATATTGCCCGAAAAAATCATCGCCTTTTACTCTACTAGTGTTAGTTGTGTGTGGAAACAGAATACTATTAAGACTTTTCCAGAAACATTCTCTATAACAAATCAGAATTGGATTAATTATTTTATCCATCAATTACTAATACTCCAACCGTCTCATTTTATAGTTTCTGTTTGTGTTTTTTCATGGTATTTAAGAAATAAAAAGAAAAAGTAAATTAAATACATTAAGAAGGTGAAAAGTACAATTATACACAAAAGTTAGAGAGAAAAAGTGAAAAAAAAGTACAAAATTAATGAAAAATTAAGGGTAATTTAAAAAGTTCAATGAATAAAGTTAAAAAAATAAAGGTATAACGGTCTTTACATATTATCCAAAAATAATAACAGAAACAACATACGAAAGGAAGGAATAGTACACCCTTTCACTCAACTACAAATGGGACAAAAGATTGAAATTTTAGCGAAAATGAAGCCTAAAAAGAAAGAAACGTGAGTATCTTCTTCATCAATTTTTGAAGACGTAATTTAAGGAGAAAAAAAAAAAAAAAGTATTTGATAAAGCCAGCTATCACTGAGTGTGTCAACTCTTGTGGGGTCACTTTGCTATTCTTTGGTGCCATTCATATTCATCGATTAATTTATTTATATCACCACTAACGATAATTAATTAAAACGTAATAGAAATTAAATCATTTTTAACGACTAAAATAGCCTAATTCTCAAACAAAAGTTACTTTTACCACATTTCATTTTAACTTGGTAATACAAGAATCAGGATAAATATGGACTACTTTATATTTTTAAATACTCAGTATGCCTTTAATTTTATAAGATTATGTATCGATTCTCTGTATACAATAACTTAATAATACTGATTACTCGTACCTTTTTCCGTATTTAATGTAATTATTTTCGGGATATATTTCGTGTAAATATGAAAAAAAATGTCATATTTGAAAATCATTTCAATTGCCGTACATCTCATATAGCTACATACTGTAATAAACTAGTAAATATAATTAATTATCAACAAATAATAAAAGATTGGACGCCTACAGCACACTGCACACCCCTAATCCTAGAGAAAATGGAGCACGGAATAATGCAAAGTGTAAAGCATAATGATTTTCAATTAAATTAGAGGTAAACTTATTTTTGATGTTTGGCACTATTGGTAACTTTATTTATATCAAGTTATGAAGTGACCTCGATCTCAAAATAAATTATTGTTAAAAGGAACGGAGAAATAGTAAGAAAACAAAAACTTACGAAGAAATTAGGGTTATTGGGTTTAGCAGTGTCGTGATTAGCAGCCTCAAGATCAAGATCATCAACATAAGATTGACGAAGAGATCGGAACTTATCCCAATGGTAACAGCAGGAGAAAATACCACTTAAACTAAAGATGACCAGCAATAGCAAAGCAGTGCCAAGAGGAAAACCAAGGGACGGTCGAGATGCGTCGGAGTGGTACTGGTGATGAACCACTGCAGGGCTGTACACTGGACTGTGCTGCATCGTACTAGTATAATTTCTCTCCGAGAACTTTCTCTCATATATGTATAGGCTACACAAATAACTACTGTAAAATAAATTAAATGTATTTTTAATTTGTAGAGAGAGAGAGGGTGTGGGTAATCGGTAATGGACTAATGGTATGCTTGTTTGATGGAGCCGAAAGAGGGTTCAAATTTAAAGAGGAGAATTTGAGAGGAAGGCTACGTGTAAAGGTTAAATTGCTACTACTTGTCCCTGCTTGAGTACGGAAGTGGGTCCTTTTTTAGGTACTGCTTTTTTTACTTGGCCCCATTTCTCTCTATTTTTTTTTTTTAATTAGTTTTTTGTTTGGTAGACTACTTTATTACAATCGGTAATTCACAAATTCTATATATGACCCATCGTCGATGGTTACTTCGCTGGTGTTATAAGGATTACTCACCTTGGTAAGTATTATATGGGTTATTTCATCAGTGTTATAAAGTTTACTTCATAAGTGATATAGGAGAAACTTGGTCAACATTAAAGGGGTTACTCGGGGAAACTCGGTCAACATTACAGGGATTACTCAGTCAGTGTTATAAGGGAAACTCGGTCAGCATTACAGGGGTAACTTGATCAGTATTATAGGGATTACGTTGTTCTTTTACAAACAGTCAAGTGTGACTAACCGCACAAAAAATTGGACTAATGATTATGAATTTTTAAACTCCGATGATTCATCACCTTTATTCCAAAATCAAACCATATTGCACCACCCTCATTACCCCTCTCGGCACCCCTAGTGCAAACCAAACCGGTAGCGTTGGAGGGCCACGACAAAGGGCAGTCTGCCATAGCTACCTCGCAGAGCATCCTACACCAGCAATATGCAAGGCAAGTGCCCTAGGCAGTCCTTACTGTGCACAATGTCATGCCCAACCCATCACCAACTCCCAACCATTGCCCTAGGCAGGCCCCGACGCTCCTAACAACTCTACCCGCTGCTCCCCAGCCCCTATTCGAGGCCACACCCATCACACCAACTAGACCACCACCACTTTCATCTCCCATGCAAACATGATCCAAGCATGGCATATTCAAACCTAACCCAAAGTATGGTTTAACCATGTCAGATCACTCTGTTCCCCAATTCCCAAAAATCACAAACAAGCTCTTTTCATCCCTAATTGGAATGCTTCAATGCCAGCTGAATATGGTGCTTTAACTAAAACAGGGATATGGGCATTGGTTCCTAGGCCTATGGGGTGAATACTGTTAATTGCATGTGGTTATTTTGACATAAATTGAATGCTAACGATGATCTAGAATGGCGTAAAGCATGTTTAGTTTGTGATAGCAGGTCGCTAGTTGAAGGTGTGGAATGTCTTTTTTTTTTTCTTTTTTTTTTACATAGAGATTTGAATAAGGTTGTGTATATATATGCATCAATACCTAGGGTTTGTAGACATGCGATTTATAGGGTATGTTTGTATGCTTCACAAGGCAGACTATGGCCTGAAACAAGTTAGGCTTTATATCAAGCTAACTATTTTTTGCAGATGAGGTTTGTCATTGCACTTTTGACATTTCTTATTTATTTTCCGACATGGTAATGAAATGACATACAAGTTTCTGATGATTGACTGGCTTTTTTTATTTTATTTTTTTCTGGGAATTTTTGTTTCTCAAACACCATCATATTTATTTTTATCTTGTTAGAAATATGCACAAGAGATTTTAGAGTGCGCAGGTATGGGGAATTGCTGCAACACCCAAGATTAACATGAGCCCACTAGTACATATTGTCTTCTTTGTGCCTAGCCCGCAAGAATTTTTTTTTTTTTTTTGGTGCAAGATAGAAGTCCTACTCAAAAGGCTTCTACTTGGTTGAGGTATCAACCCTCATATAAAGAAGACTTCGTTCTCCTCAACTTTTGATGTAGTGCGGAATATCTAGTACTGGGCTCATGTTAACCTTACAATTGCAAACCTGCAATGGCTTCAATGAACATTCAGTCCAAACGTAGTGCAGATTATGGACCAAATTTCCATGATCCAACACTTTATCACAGTCTTGCAGGTGCTCAATACCTCACTTTCACTCGCCCTGATATAACATATGAAATTTAAAAGTTTATTAATTTATGCACGACCTAAGGAAGCTCATTTTGATACATTGAAGTGCATCCTACATTCAAGGTACCATTGATCACGGGTTACATTTATATCCTTCAGTGCCTACAAAACTTGATCGCCTACACTAACACAGTTTAGGGCTCGTGTCCTGACACTCGTCGTTCGACTTCAAGATATTGTTGTATTTTAGGTGACAATCTCATTTCCCGGACTTCTAATTAAGCACCAGACTACTCATTCTAGCTAGATCAAGTGTAGAGGAAGAGGGCCAAGGTGTAATACCCCTGCATTTTTACATTATTTTATATATAAATTATATATTTTATAAATTGAAATGATATATAAATTGAAATGATACAATTTATATTACTGAAATTAATTATTAAATTATCAAATAAGTGTGTATAAATTAATACGAGCAATTAATTGAGACAATTAAATATATTGTATTGGATTAAATTGGTTTTAAACGATTGGACTAGTTGGTCGAAAAGAAGAAGAGTTTTAGTTGACTTGTGATTATATGGCGAGCATGTTTTAATTATTATTGTTAGGATGATCATGTTAGTATGCTAGTTTTATAGGTGCATATGTACTCAGCTTTTGTTGGTTCGTACTTTGTTGTTTGTGTTTGATTTTTCTTTAGATTGACCATACTATGACTCATTTTAATGGCGAGCAGTGAGGTCGAAATAAAAAGAAAGCGATAGGTACTTGAAGCGTGAAGAGCATGATGAGACGAGCGTTGAGAGTTACTTGTTATGCTTTAATATACTTTATATTTTAGTTTTTGATAATTTCTTATTGGGCTAACGTTGTTTAATTACTTACGTTTTAAGTAACGGTTTTATGGGCCATATATTGGCTCCAACTTGTGTATGGTTTTATTTTACGTAGGTTTTGAGGTTGTGAACTCAAGTTATTAATTTTCAAATGTTTTATTTTGGTTTTACGACTTCCGCTATGTGACTTTGAAAAGTCATAGCTGTTATCACGGTGGCAGTAATATTTTGGTTATTTCCTAAATTGAGTTTAATAAGGGTAAAAAGGGTATTGTAAAAGGAGGAAATATCTAGGGTATTACACAAGGTGTCGTAAATGTTTTTGTCGAGGCCTATTTGCTTCACAATCTTCTTCTTGAGCTACATTGCCCTCTTCGACATGCAACTATTGTTTGTTGTGATTATGCTAGTGCAATTTATCTTTCTTATAATCTAGCTCGTTCAGCACCAACGCACTAAGCACGTCTAATGGACATCCATTATGTTCGAGAAAAGGTGGCATTGGGTCATGTACACATTTTGCATGTTCCACTACTAGAAAATAGGCCATTTTCGACGGAATTATTCCGTCAGAAACACCCCGTTTTCCGTCAAAAAACGTGTTTTCAACAAAATTCCGTCGAAAAGTGGTCATCAAAACGTATTTGTCGGAAAAAACGCCCTTAACCAAGGGAATTTCTGTCGAAAACAGTTTTTCGACGAAATTTCAGTCATCGGACATAATTTCTCCGACCCAGAATGTCTGTCGAAAATTTCCGACGGACTGTATTCCGCCGGTTTTCCAACGGAAATTTCGTCGAAAAATTGTACCCAAAAAATAAAAATTAAAAACCCCCTCACACCACCCGTAACCTCAACACTCCACCATCTCCAACCTCCACCAGCCCCCAACACTCCACTAACCTCCACCAGCCCTCTACACTCCACCATCCCCAACCTCTACCAGCCCCCAACCTCCGCCAACATCTAACATCCACCAGCCCCCAACCTCCACCACGACCACCACTAGGCCAAACCCACACCACGACCACCACCAGACCCCAACCCTCCAACCCACAACCACCACAAAAAATAAAAGAGAAAATTACCACACAAAAATCGAAAATTACCACAAAAAAAAAAAAATCAAAACCAGTAGATCTACAATTCAAAATTTCAGATTAAAAAAAATAATGGGCTGAAAAATAACCACAAAATATTAAGAAAATAAATAAATATACAATTATCTAATAAAATTTATAAACTAATATTACAATTACTTGAAAAATAACCATAATCAGAAATTAATTAAAAAAATAAAACTAGATCTACAATCTAACCTAAATTAAAACAAGATCTACAATACTTGTGCGGTGTTGACGATTCTCGTGACGGTGGATGTGCGTTTGAGTTGTTGCGCGGTAATGGTGTTGTTGTGGTCGCCGTTGTTGTCGTTGCGCGATGTTGGTGATGCCTAAACTCGTTATCTTCTCAGGGTATGTTGCAGTTGTTTCCATGTTTTTCACCCTTGCCATTCTTGCTGTCTTTACCGTCATCTGGGCCATAAAACAGATTTAATTCAACAACTCTTGCAGGGAATCGGATCGACTAAGCATGTAATAGGGAAAGAAGAGGACAGAAGAAAGAGGGGAAAGAAGAGGAGAGAAGAAAGAGGCGAGAAATAGGGGAGGAAAGAGAAGAGAGAAGTGGCGGACAAAGAAATGGGGGGAAAGGGAAGAGGAGAAAGAAAGAGAAGGGGAAAGAGAAGAGGAAAGAGAAAGAGAAGTGGCGAACACTCAGAAAGAGATAGAAGAGGATTAAGGTTAAGCTGATTTAAAATGAACCGTTTTTTTTTTAATTTTTCGTCGGAAATTTTAGTTGTACAAATACTCCAACGAATTTATAATTTCTGACGGATTATTTGAATTCGTCGGAAATATCCGACGGAATATAAATCCTTCGGAAATTTCGATTTTTCCGACGGAATTACGTGTTTGTCGGAACCTGTCCGTCGGAAATCAACTGTTTTCTTGTTTTTACACGATATCACTTTGTAGACATTTTCACGAAAGACTTATCTCAGCTTGACAACTAATTCCAGTCCCAACGTTTGACCTCCTCCCGCTATGACTGCGGGGGTGTGATGGAGAATATATGATAGACATTCTTTGTCATAGGTTCTGGAATATATTTTGTGAATATCTTGTATAATTATTTTTTGAGATTTCCCGACGACGTAGTTAATACTCATAATGTAACCCTATATATACTAATCAATGGAAATCACTCCAATCATAAAATTTAACTCTGT